GCTTCTTCAGCTGCTGCCAGTCCTTATAATAATCCTTGTCCACGTTCTCGTGTTTCGCTTTTTCCGTAATGACCATATTTAGCGAGCTTTCAAACATGAACGACTGAAAAAGCAAATCATTAGAGAGGAAAGGTAAACGACTTAGATAAATTTGATTTGCAGAAATGGTAGAAAGAAGTATGAAAAAGCTACAAGCCTATTAAGATCTCAATTATTTAACCCACAATACTTTCTAGCTCAATACTAAACCTACCATTGTTCCCTCTGCAATACGTTGGGGTTTCAGCTCATCCCTCGAGGCCTTCTCGAAGCAAGTCACGTCAGGACCATGAGGAGTCATCATCGAGTGTAATGAGGCGCCTAACAATGTTAGGATAAGATATGGATGGGGAAAAAAGGAGAGTCGCGCATAACTACTCAAAGAGTGATTAACATCAAAAATTAGTAAGTAAGGTTCAAGCGTAAAAACATTTCGAAAGCAAATTCCCAAAGCTCACTGGACATGGAATAATCCCAAAAGATACTAAAACTAACCTCCAGGACGGAATCCTCCTTCCTTTGCCTCATAAGAACCAACAATCAAACCCATGTATTCAGACATACAATTTCCTTGGAAAAAATTTCAGGATTAATGAGTCTGAGTTTTTTGAGCAAAAAGAATTAGAGAATGAGAAGCAGCAGAGAAGCAGCTCTGTTATAGGAAAAGCTCCTACATGAAAGAACTTACGGTGATAATAAGGCGGTCTGAATGTATTCTCAGCCACACCCCATCGAGGGGGGAAAATGACAAAGTCAGCAATTGCAGTGCCGAGTTTTAACGATGGAGCCGTAAGCACAGTGAAAATGGATGGATCCTTAAGCAGAGGAAATTAGTTGATAGTTCAGAAACTCTCAGGTTGATGACAGCTTTAACCATATTGTAGACCAGTGTCGGTTGATTGAATAATGCTCAGATAATTAGGCTGAATTCTAGCAATTAAGAAAATTTCCACTCACAGTTAGTGCTAATCAAGAGACCGAGAGCAAACAAACA